ATTATAAATATATACATTAAAAAATATATTGCATTTATGAATTAAATAAATATCTTAATTACCATTACATTTCGCTATTTGAAAATACATCATTTCTATGTGTATTTATTTATATTTTTGAGAATGTATTTATTTCTATTCTGATTTAAAAAAAGAAAACAGATTATAGTTATATAATAAAGAATATTTATATAGAGATTGACGTAACAAGAATATCTTATTATTGTAGATATTTAAAATGTTTGAAGTTAAAGTTTACTTGATCATAAAATATGTGGAATAAAATTTCAATTTTACAAAGTAAGAAGAATATATTACACGATTAAAATACATAATATATACTTACAAGTTTATAATAGAATAATATCATAAGACGAATTATAATCAAAAGTAAAAATGTAACCGATGTCTTTTATCGATGTTTACATTCATAATTTTCAATAAACTATTTATTATATTCAATCATATTGATACACTGATAAAGAACATTTTTTTAAGGACTGAATAAGTACTGATTTGCTTCTTCTTTTAATAAACGGTTAGGTTTATAAAGAGAATCAATTAGAATTCAACTTACGTTTTAGATATACGTTAAAATATGCTTGAAGATAATTAGATAGTTTTATAGACTACGATAAAACACGTTGATTATTTTTATATTTGTATCCTAGTTGAGCAGAAAAACAGAAATTTGCGAAAATGCTGTGTTTTAGATTGTAAACAATAATACTGCATCTTTTTGAAACAATGTTTATTAAAAATATCACTTCTATGTAACAATAATTTTATTTCCATACAAAAAAAAAGTAATATTTTTTATTTATTATAAATGTTTTGTAGAAAAAACCGAAAATTGTTTATGTCCTCTAAACGATATTATTATTATTATTATTATTATTATTATTTATAGTAACTACCTAAAATAAAGTTAGAATCTATGTATAATATTAATGTGTAAACTGACAAAGTATGCGTAACTACTTCGATTTTTTAACCTTTTCAATAAAAGCGTTCTGCCTTCAATGAAACTCGGACTCCGAAACACACAAACACCACCAAGTTGTCAGTTTTATTCTGTGTGTGTGTGTGTGTGTGTGTATGAAAACTCTCTTAATCGTAAAATAAAAATTGTACTAATCAGTTAACTTACCGATACTTCCTGTAATTAATAGTGAAATGATTCTTGTAATTAATAGTGAAATGATCCCTGTAAAAAAAAAAAACAAATATTTTTACCTCGTATGCAATTTTTACATAATTAAATTGCAATAAAAATATTTTTGTTTATTAGGAGATGAAAAATTTATATTATTACATTTTTACTACATTTATATAAGTTATAATATAAAGCAGTATTATGACCAGGCAATGTAAGTTTTATATTAATAAAAAAATGTAAATAAATATATGGCACTTGCACACCTCGGTAATCAAATGAATGCCGGATATATCCGGCATCAGTATACTAAAAAGATTCAGTACGGTAATAAAATCAATCCTTGTCACAAATAAGTACGCAACAAGATATCAAAAGATAAAAATCCAGAGAACAGGGTTATAATTCTGAAAATACTTTGAAGTTTACGTAAGCATGTTATGAACAGAAGCACAATAAATTAATTAGAAAGTAAATTGGAAACAGTTGGTATTACTCAGTGTTCAAATTCTTAATCCCTATAAACAGTTTGTAATACTGAAATTTATTGACAATTTAATCAAGGACAAATTGTAGGTTTCAAACATCATTTCCTTGCCTCTTCTGTCATTAAACAGTTGAGTTTAAATACAGAATCGATCATTGTCTCTTAGACAGTCAGAATATATGCTACAATTATTCTATTTTTATTCTTGTTAACATGATACAGTTGTAGCAAAAACTTTTAACCTAAAATTCGGCACTCAAATTTATCTCTCGTGTGCATTAAAAAAGTTATTCTAAGTATAAAGTGTTACATTTTCTAGAAAAACAAATAATATTTCCAAGTTAATTACGAAAAATACAAAGTGTTCAACAGAGAAAGTTTATCAGAGGAAACAAAGAAAAACATTTAACAAGTTATCAAATAAGGTGAAATAAAAATCAAATGCTTTTTATCGTTAATTACAAATAGTGTGTTAAATGAATATATCAGAGAAGGGTGTACGTTACAAAAATTGGTTATTTCTGAAGTTTAACCAAGAATCGATGGTTTTTTTAAGATGGCTAAATAGTTTTGAATATCTAATCGAAATAACTAACACAGAAAATGATAAAAAAGTACAGTGTTTATTAAATATGATGGATAATTCGATGCTTAAGAAAATTCAGGAAGTAACATATCCTTCCGAACCTTCTGAATTATCATACAATGTGCTTATAACAATGTTGATGAATTCTTGCTCGGATTATAGAGGAAAAGAGGTACCGATTTTTCGTTATCTATTTCGAAAACAATTGCCGTATGAATCTATAGATCATTATGTCATTGCATTGAAAAAGTTATACAGTAAATGCACTCCTGACTTTCAAAATTCGATTAATGTAGTAAACCGATTCACGGAAGGATTATCACACGAGGAAACGAAAAATTTATTGAGCCAAGATAAAGACTTATCATTCCCGACGGCAATAGCTATAGCCAAACAAATGGAATATGCTGAAAATCAAAAATCAAAAGAATAATCATGAAAGTAAAATAATTAAATGCGGGTATATTTTTTACTCGAACATAAAAAAATAAAAAGACACCGAAACATAATTGACATTAGCTGTTCAGCAAACAATAATTTTAAATTCTTAGTTGTTTTGAAGTTTTTTAATTAATATGACAGCAATACAACATAACGAAATCTTTGACGAATATACAATTTTTTATTAGTAATTTTAGTATTAATAGTAAATGTACGCGAGATAAACGAAAATGGAAAATATTCTTTGTTTTTTTAAAGTATATTGTCATTTATAATAGTTTTTTGTAAWGAGATAAGTATATCCTCAAAAATATATAAAATATGTGTAATATATGTCCATTATGTTAGATATATATATACATATATATATATGCTACTGTATAAAACCGAAACTAGGGAATTTAGGGATTAACAGATTAAAATTTAAATACATTCAAAACACGTCAGTAAAGACTGAATGTTTAGAATTATTCTTTTA